GACCAATACTAGTGATCCCTAAGGCAGTTCAACTGGACATACGTTTGTGTTTCCCAGGAAGTTTAGCCAGTAGCTTTAGAAGAACATTGTTGAGCCTCTCCTTTTGCTTCTGCCTCTGTAAAATCAGGAATACACACAAAAACTGAGAACAATTTCTGAGAAAAACAACACAATACTAAACAGTCATTATGTAGCTGATAGTTCTGACAACATGGAGTGTACATGTAGCAGGTCAATATCAGGCAAGCTTCAATTACATGCACATTTGTACCTGTTTTGTCTTGTGATGTTCTGAGGAGGTTGGTGCTTCTTCTGCAGTAGAGCTACAAGAAAAAAAATGAAAACTGTCAGTTGTTATGCTTGATAGAGACACATCATGTAGAATACATATGTCTTCTCTCAGGTTCATATGTGTTATAATCTCTTCAATTCAAACAAAATTCTCGACTTGATAATCACTAACTTGGGCCGTTTCTATAAACCGTGCTCAACTATTGCACCTGTGGGAATGAGTGACCACCGGACAGTGATAGTCACACCAAAACAACACATCCAGTCAAACGTCGTGAGGAAAAAGACAGTACGTCCCATGCCCGACTCTAGAGTACGTTCCTTTGGAACGTGGATAACATCACATGACTGGTCTGAGGTTGCAAGCAAAGAGGGAAGCCAAGCGATGACGACGGCATTTTACAGCACCCTCCATCAGAAGATGGACGAACACTTTCCCACTCGCCGTATCAAACTACACATTAAGGATAAGCCGTGGATGACTCCCGCAATTAAAGCACTCTTGTCCAAACGTCAGAAGGCCTTCGCAGCCGGGAAGACAAATAAGTGGAAAGCCCTGAGAAACAAAACCCAGTCAAGAATCAAGAGAGCTCGTCAGTCCTTCTACAAATCGAAAGTACAGAATCTTAGGAAACTGGATCCTTCGAACTGGCACGATGAGATTAGATCAATGGCAAACATCGGAAAAACCAGCCCAACGATCAGCGTGGAAGGGATCCCTGTAGAGGACACAAAAGCTACAGCAGACGCCATTAATGTTACACTTAGTAACATAACGAAAGCTTTACCACCATTGGACACCACGTACTTACCTGCTTTCCTCCCCTCACCTATGCCACCGCAGATCAAAGTGTGGGAAATGTACAACAAACTCAGTAACATCCGTGTCCGGAAAGCAGCGGGCCCAGATAACGTCACTGGGCGGCTGACGAAGGAGTTTGCCTGCGAACTAAGTACCCCACTTACCTGGATACTCAACGCATCCTTGGCAGAAGGACGAGTTCCATGGGAGTGGCGAGAAGCCACAGTGATCCCCTTAGCCAAAACAAAACCACCATCAGTAAACGAACTTCGACCAGTTTCACTTACCTCTCTCCTGGCGAAGGTGTGCGAAAGTTTCGTCGCCGAACATATCTTAAAAGACATAACCCCCAACATTGACGCTAAGCAGTTCGGGGGTCTACCTGGGCGGTCAACCACTCACTGCTTAGTGGACATCATGCACCTGCTCTACAAGAACTCCGACCGCACCGGCACCGTGAGTAGCCTGGTCCTGACAGACTATTCCAAAGCGTTCGACCGTGTCGACCACACCATTGCCGTAACACGTCTGTTAGACCTCGGGTGCAGACCAGCTCTCGTACCGTGGTTATGC